AGTTCATCCAGACGATATTCCTAAAACGGCAGTGATCACCCCTTTTGGCCTTTTCGAATTCCTTCGAATGCCGTTCGGTCTCCGCAACGCCGCACAAACATTCCAGCGATTCATTCATGATGTTTTGCGCGGATTGGATTGCGCGTATGCCTATCTGGATGATATTTTGGTAGCTAGTCCAGATGAGGCAACACATCGTCTTCACTTGCAGGCCGTCTTCCAAAGGCTTACAACACACTCCCTCACACTCAACTTAGCAAAGTGTGAGATAGGGGTCACGTCTTTGAATTTTTTGGGACACAGGATAGATAAGGATGGGATCTATCCGTTATCTGAACGGGTAGAGACTATCCAAAACTTTCCTCTACCCACATCCCTCAAAGCATTACGCACCTTTCTGGGAATGGTTAGCTACTACCGTCGCTTTATTCCCCAATGCGCCCACATCTTGACCCCCTTGACTGATATGCTTAAGGGGAAAGGTAAGTCCATCGTGTTCTCCGAGGAAGCCTTGACAGCCTTTGTAACTATCAAGAAGGCTATTGCTGATGCCACAATGTTAGTTCACATGGACGTCCAGCTACCGTTCAGCATTTCCGTCGATGCCTCTAACACTGCGATTGGAGCTGTCCTACAACAGCGTGTGTCCAATGCTTGGTCACATATTGCTTTCTTTTCTCGTAAACTTACTGCATGTGAATCTAGGTACAACACTTTCGGCAGAGAACTTCTCGCTGTTTATGCCGCTGTCAAGCAATTTCGACATTTCATGGAGGGCCGACAATTCACTGTGTTCACAGACCACAAGCCCCTGACATACGCCCTCCACACTACTACAGATAGATATTCTCCGCGCGAATTGCGTCACTTGGACTATATCTCACAATTCACTTCGGACATTCGACATATTTCGGGGGTTGACAATGCTGTGGCGGACGCCTTGTCTAGGATATGTACCATGTCGGCGCCGCCAACCATTGACCTGAAACAAATGGCACAACGTCAGCTTACAGAGTTAGATCCCGATAAGCTCTCGTTAAATACCTCCTTACATATCAAGCGTATACCGCTTGTTAATAGCGAGGGTACAATCCTCTGCGATCTGTCCACCGGTACCCCGAGACCCATCGTTCCACCTTCATTGCGCCGTACGGTATTCGATAGCCTCCACAACCTTTTCTACCCAGGTATCCGGGCAACGGACAAACTAGTGTCAGCTGGATTTGTCTGGCCTGGTATAAATCGCGACGTGCGTATCTGGGCACGTGCCTGTGTGCCGTGTCAACGAGCTAAAGTCCACAAACACAACATCACTCCAGTGGGTTCCTTCTCCACACCCGATGCTCGCTTTAGTCACGTACATCTAGATATAGTGAGTCCTCTACCACCATCAAACGGCCACTGTTACTTGTTGACATGTGTCGACTGGTTCACTCGTTGGCCAGAAGCTATTCCCATCGCCGACACGACCGCGGAAACCATTTGCCGAGTGTTCATGGAACGCTGGGTAGCTCAATTCGGATGCCCATCTTCGGTGACTACAGACCGTGGACAGCAGTTTGAACCAACCCACTTCAAGAAGCTCTTAGAGCTGCTGGGGTGCAAACGCATCCGAACAACCGCGTACCACCCAGCAGCAAATGCACTTGTAGAGCGTTTTCACCGCCAACTGAAAGCTTCGTTAATGGCTACCGAGAATACTAAGTGGACCGAGTCCCTTCCCCTAGTGCTACTTAGCATCCGTTCCACGCTCAAAGCAGACTTACAGTGCACCTCCGCAGAGTTGGTGTTCGGTACCACCCTTCGTCTACCGGGTGAAATTATCTCACCTGAAAGTGGTGAACCAAGTGTTACGGATGTACATTGTTATGCTCAGAACCTCAAGCGCCTTATGCAGCGCCTGCAACCAACTCCCACACGCACACAAAACAAGAGAGTGCAAGTAGATGCTAGGCTGGATGACTGTACACACGTTTTTGTGCGTTGCGACGCCGTTCGCAGACCGTTACAACCCCCTTATGATGGACCATTCAAGGTCGTTAGTAGGAAAGAAAAATTTTTTGTTATTGATCGACTTGGCCGTCAAGACACCGTAAGTGTCGACAGACTTAAAGCGGCCAACATCGAAGAATCTGTACCCCTCACGCCTACACAACCAGCAACTACGCCCACACCCCAGCCAAGTTCGATTGTTGAAAATCGTACTAAACCTATCAGTTCGCCAGATGCAACGAGTAAGGCAACAGTTACACGCGCCGGTCGGCGTGTGTACTGGCCTAAGCGATTCTGCGAATTCGTTAACTAAACACTTTTACGTATAAGAGTAGTTCATACTCTCATTTTTTTCTTTGTCGCAGTTTACATTCATTTTTCATGGTATTTACCCTTTCGATTTAGTTTGTGGGCAGTAGCCACTTTTACAGTTACTAACCTCGTTAGATTTCTTTCTCTTTACAGAGTGTTCTAACATTTTATTTTCGGCCTTACACTCGAACAGCTAACTATATCAATCAACTCTATCGTCGTATGATGGCTCCCATCACTTGTGGAATTACCAAGCGAAATGACAAAATATAGACCAATAAAAAATAATAAAGTAAAAGAAATAAAAAGATAAAATGTAAAAACAAAAAAAGTCTAGAAATAAAATTTAAAAAAATATAATAAGCAAAACTTGCACTATATAGTTCAACGAACCGTTATATATTATTGCCCATGACTGTGTCACTTCTCTGCTGTAAGAGTTAGACTCGGGTTAACTTAGACCTAAATTAGCCACTTACAAAAAATTCTTCACCGCTTTATGACCTTAATTGTACTCTGCCTAATGCGCAAATACTAACGAACTGAATCAAGGTAAAAAGACTTGAGATAACTAGCGTGACTGGAACAGAGTTATATTTACACAAAAGCAGTATGAGATTTGATAAAGAATAAGAGGGTATACACTTATCTGCAGTTGAGACGGTGGTAAGCTCGGAGAGTGTGCTAGGTGAAAGCACAGCGAGAGAGCAAAACCGAAACCGTACAGGAGATTCAGGAATCCAAAGAGGAAGTGGGGTTAAAGGTCAGATGAGTTCGTTCAAACAAAAGTTCGAAGGTACAATGTACACTACAACCTAATCAAGTAAAACTTTTGCCTGGTGGCTGTTTTACATTGTTCGATAGCTACTGTACCCTTAGTGTGTCTTAGTTTGTAACCATTGTCATCTGAAAGTCGAGTGCCATTAGTAGAGGTAAAAACTAAGTGGTTTAGAAGCTTATAGTAAAGTGTCAAGTTTAGTCTCAGGCGTCTTAGCCATAGTGTTTCTAGTCCTAGGGTATCACATCTAGTGGAGTAGTTCGTACCATTTTCAGTTCCGAGTAATTTTAACGTGAAGTACCTCTGCACTCCCTCGACTTTCAATTTGTCCTCTATGCGTATGCTACTATACATGAATGAACAGTAATCAAATAAAGGACGCACACAAACCTTGTACAACAGAATTCTAGACTCATTTCTGTAGAAGTTCCTGAGTAGAAAGCCGATAAGTCTGCGTGACTTTGACACTTGTTTGGAGATATGTTCAGAAAATGATAAGTTATGTGAATATTTCAGCCCTAGGTCCAGTACAGATTCCAGTCGTTGAAGTGCATGGCCTTGAATTGTCAGGTCAAGTTCTAAATTGTTGCAACCTATGCAGAGCCAGCCACATTTTTCGACATTAAGTTCTCTTGCTTCTTTGGAGCTGAGTAATTTGGCTGTACCATACATCCGCTTGTTAGTTGCACTACTACTCTGCCCCTTCACAGCCCAGTTAGATACGAGAGAAACGAAGTCTCCATGGCTCAATAATGGGGCACCTCTTGAAATCAATACATTCATCTGCTCCTGAGAAATCTTTAAACACATGAGGCAAGACCTGTTCAAGCCTCCCCATGGAAGTAAATTATTTATCCTATCCTGACCTCTCGCCGGGGATTTTCATCGAACGTCTCCACAATTTTTTAGCCTACTTTTGATTGTAGAGCCTAGGTAATGACCTCGTCGAAAAGAATATATTTCCTTGCTGCAACCTGTGTAATTAAACAACTGACTGCAGACCGACGTAGGTACCACTCCCCCAATTGCTGGATCCAAAGTTAAGCTGGAATTTGCACAATGAAGTATTTTCACAAATCTGCAGAAGAGATATTTCAGTTACGGGGCATGCTCTACTAATATTACAAATATATAAAATCTGCTGCTTTGTTCTAACTTCTTTTTCAAACTCCATATGGATTTCGTTATTTTTGCCTCTTTCTCTTCTTGTATTACCTATCTTCTTGCTCCACCTCGCATTTGTTTTGTTAACCTGTTCTGTAGACTCTATTCATACTCTCCTCATGCTATTTATTAGAGAATTTAACATCCACCTAAAGCACTGCCAGGCGAAACGGAATTGTTAAGTCTCAGAAGCGGATCTCTCCTTGCAGAAATCGTAAGTTTTTTTCAAGGTAAACCAACGTGCTATTACGTTCAACTTGGCTGCAGACGCTTTTCGGATATGTTATCTGAAATGAGACCCTTCAAAGATTTGGAACCTTTTGACTAACAGCAAAAAAGGCAAGGATTTATACCAACTCTTCAAAAGAATACTGAATATTTACCCGAACTTATGATTTTGAATGTTTGACAGGAATACATTGAAAGCCTCTCATTTAAACTCTCTAGAGCAGAAAACACAACTAAACAAAAACATCCACTTCAGCTAGTAGTCTTTTCAACACTCATGCACACTGATGCTTTGTTTTGTACATCAAATTTTCTTCTCACTCTTTTTCGCATGATTTCATAGCCTTGCGAATTCACAACACATTATTCATAAACGCAAACACTAGTCGCCGAAAATTAGGAAAATCTGCCTTACAATCAAGAAGCAAATACAAAGAAGTCAACTCAGTCTACAGGCTAGCATGTTCAATCATTTGAAGGTGAAATATTTGACCTCAACAATTTTTTGGATAAACGCGCTACGGCGATGGTGAAACCAAAATGTGATTCATCTGGTTTGGCCGTAAAAACTGGAGGCATTAAGTTTCAGAAAAGCAAAGGTCAACACATTTTAAAAAATCCTCTTGTAATTAATACAATGATTGAAAAGGCTGGAATAAAGTCTACGGACTCCGTCTTAGAAATCGGTTCTGGAACTGGCAACCTGACCATTAAACTCTTGGAGAAGGGAAGAAAAGTCTACGCCTTTGAAATAGATCCGAGGATGGTTTCAGAATTACAAAAGCGTGTGCAAACCTCGTAAGTTTGAAGCAAGTACATAGTAAATGTACCTGTAAAGGTACATTTTGTCATTAGATGTTATGTATCAAGATACCTGGCTTTATCACTAGGTTGCATCACTTCTTCTCTCAGGTTTAAGGTATTATTATGCATGAAACGTTGTTAATGTATTAGTACTTTTAGTCAGTACCATTTTATTAATATTAGACTGAAGTATCACCAATTTTTCAGCGAGGATGATTAGATTTCAAGTAGCTTCGAATATATATATATACATATACATATATATACTACCCGAAAACTAAGTGATAAGTCCGAAAGGTTGCATTCCACTGATAGTTATCATATAACGTTCCCATGTTTCATAGTCATTTAAATGGGTAAACGTTTCAAACGTGCTAAAATCAGGGTATATTTATACACACAAGTTTGTTTGTGTGTTGATTTTTCATGTGACAGCCTTAAATACCAAGTAGAGTATACTGCTGACAGCATTCGTCAGGAGTAAATGAAATTGTTACCCTTCAGTCTGGTATCACCATTTAAGTAGTAGTGATGTTCGGTGAGTTATAATTCATGAAAAGTGTTCAAAAAGTTTGACTGTGTAGCCAAGGAAAATAATCCGGCCCAGTGAATCAGTGACAATATTGGTGTCGTTGTAACATAATTTTCTTATGTATTTTGCAACTTCCGGTAGTTTTCAACTCCTATGAATGTTTCAAAGGTTTAAGAAGAAACCTTTCAGTAATCCTTTCTCTAAATTACTCAGTCACTGTCACCTTCGATTACTAGGTGAAAAGAGGATTGAACAAAAAAATTTTTTTAGATACGTTGAGACTTTCAAATAAAATACCACTGCTGGTGCAATGCATTTTACACTAGATGTGCGTCCTAAAATGTATCGATACACTTTCAGGACCTAAATTATACGTAGTTCATTTCTTGGTTCGCTGTTAGAAAGATACTATTGTTCAAGGGTTAGCTTGAAAACAATGAGTTTATTGTCAAGTTGCGTCAAGAAGTTTTAGTGTTTAAAGCTGTCATCTATGATTGTTTAAATTAAGTTTAAGTAAACATTACCAAATAGTCATCAGTTTCGTACTCTTTATTGAGGTAGACACTTCATATATCTGCTACAATTTTATAAACATCTCAAAATACACCCGTGTCAAGTAGTTTAGGCTTTATATATAACTGTAATTTTCTATATACATATAATTTCATTTTTAAAAGAAAATGTAGACTTCAGTGTTATTCCTTTTATGAATCCATACTTAGGCCAAACCGATCCAAGCTAGAAATTCTTGTTGGAGATGCAGTCAAGGCAAGTTCATGGCCGAAATTTGATCTATGCGTAGCAAATTTACCGTACCAGATTTCCTCACCATTTATACAACGATTGGTTCGTGCTGGTCGTAGTTTCAGAGCAGCAGTTGTTATGGTGCAAAAGGAATTTGCCGATCGCCTAATAGCTAAACCCGGGGATAAAGTGTACTGTCGTCTGTCGGCATTTTCTCAGTTCCATTTCAAAATTGAACAGTTAATGAAAGTATGTTTTTAACTGCGTTATTTTACCTCGTCGTCACTTTATTTAAAATTTAGTGCATATTCCTAGGCTTCCATCTCCACAAATCCCACAATTTACTTTCATACAATTATTTTCTTTGAGAAACTTAAACAAAACAAAAAGAACATATTGAGCAGGATAAATTGACGTCATTCGTTTGGTTGATTCTTGTCAGTTGCCTGCATAAACAATAAGTACTCTGTATATTGATATTAAAATTGTTTATTACCGTATGCAGCTGACAAGAACCAATGAAATAAATAACGTCTCCAAGAATTAGTATGTAGGGATTTGGTTTGTTCCAAGCTTGGTCACCAGCTGGCATCAGTTAAAAAACCAAGGGATCCACCATGTCGGGCGTGATGTCAAATACTCGCCGATGACACTGGCCAGTGGTCACAATAAAATCACGAATTAGTAAAAGTTGGAATTCATGGACGACTGGATCTGGTCCCAGTTGCTGAATGGTCCACGAGCTCGCCTTGTAACCGGCAGGCCCTCGGTTCGGACCCCGGTGGGTGTACTGACAGAGTCCCAAGCACAAGGACGAAATAGCTGTCCATTACTCCCTGGCTTTCCAGTGGTTCTCTAACTGATATCAGCTCGTGATCAAACGTCATATAAATGTCGTCACTTCGTCTTGTTCAGAGCGTTCTCGCTTTGTTCAGTCATAATTTGAAGCCCTTGTTCATTAGTTACTAGTTTCTCAACATATTTCCTGAATTCCTAATGAGAGTTTGTGGCCTATTTTTCTAAAAATAAGGTATGAAGACGTACTAACTGATGGTCGCTTTATATCACAAATCCCAGACAGTTTGAAATTTTGAGTTATTGAACTCGTACTTTGAGGCTGAATAGCGGAGTGGTCGCTTCATAGCATGATGATTTTAGTCTAAATCTCTTACAGTTCTATAGATGAGTACCGCTGAAGCAAAACATTGCCCGTATCTCCGTAGTACTTCACAGATGCGGCTGACGTGGAATCTTGACAAAACGTAGGCAGTGATTAGAATAATAAAATAAAATCTATGCAGTGAAGCGAAAGTTTTCCGATAGTTTTGTGTCCAAAACTATCTCCGGATAATATACCGTATACTTTCTGGACTCTTCTAGTCACACTATTTGAAACACTCCCCAATACGGCTTATCTAACGTGTCAAAACATCTGACTAATCTCAATATAGTGCATTTGTCCATATTTTAAGTTTTCTATCTGCGTGTTCATATTTAGATGTAATTTATGTATATGATGAAGTTTACTTCAAGTTATATAACCTCCTCCATTAGTATATCAAATATTTTATTGTTGCACGACGAAATGACACGTCCTTTTATTACTAAACCAAACTTAAATAATCAGGGAAAACTCGTAACTGAGTGCTACAAGAAAACCACATGTGCTACTTAACTGGACAGGCTGTATGAGTCGGAAAGCAAATCAAAAGTTGTTACTTGTCCTCAACTTTTTATAAGTCCATTGATTGCATTTAAAACATGTGGATAATTAGTTTCGAACTTACTCACACAAAAAGGAGACATTAAAATATGGTTGTATTACAGACCAGTGATAGAATGAGATTGTACGATTATAGTCTTCCGTTAACAAATTGATAAAAACAATTATCTCAAAATTTGTCACCGTCTTCATTTACCTTTGATTTCATTATAGATGTAATAATGGCGTTGACCCTAACTGACTTTAGCGACTTAGAGATTTACTTGTTACCAGGAAGTAGTCTTGTTGGCATAGAATATGCAGATGACATATTTCTCCTAGATGAACATGCGGACAATATGCAGAATGTTTGGCATATAATTCGTTCTTGTCAAATATAAGACGGTGCTACAAGATTGTCTATCTGTCTCTTTTCAACATAGAACTTTGCACATATGTGCGGCAGTTAAAGTCGTCACACTCCATGTAGCACACAAAGCAAGAGAAGAAAGTAGAAATGCATAATAGAAACAGTAAATAGATGTCTGAGACAAAGGAATAGTAATAACGAAGAACGATATAGTTTCATTTGAAATCATAAATCACAATGAGTAGATGCATCTGCACCAGCCATTGAGAACGATTTTGAGCCATATCACCAATTGTCTCCAGCCATTGGTTTTTACCGTCCCGAGGACACAAACCAGGAAGCTAGTCTACATCTTCCTATGTGGCTTAAACTAACTGTTTTGGATTTCACTGACTGGTGCCATGTTTTAGTTTGACTGCCGCTCTCTCTTTTCCAGCCTGACTCTATGTCAGCTAACATTGCCCGTCGAGGAAGGCGATGGCTAAGGATGCACGCGTTACACATGTTCTTACCATCTCAGTCGATGTAGCTTCACAGCCTCGTCGATTGATTTCCCCTCTACCGAAGCCTGACCTCAATATTGCTCACCTTATTATACCACTTCACACGGGATATCGAACACAGGCACCTATGATCAAAGACACCTAGCCAGCCTTTTCATGTTTTTCACTTTCAATGGTCATGTCTCACAGCTGGCCATAAAGTAGCACAAAGAGAACTGGTAAGCAGCACACGCGTCCTTTGATCAATTGCCAGCCGGATATCACGTCCACGCTAGAGACGGCGTAAACTGGCATATGCGAAACAAGGCTTCTGTATCTGTGCTGAGATTTCGTCAGCCATCAACCCGCTGGCCCTGGCTGATTCACTTTCTCAACCGAATGAGTGGAATGGTCAACACGCTAAGCCACCACTTCACTCCCTATTTCTAAGCTAGGAGTCAATGCAGTCCAGTCCAGTCCTGTAGCATCATCTTTTATTTAGCGGGAGCGAATCGCATGCCAAACATTCCCAGATTGCAGCTCAAGGTGTTCAGAAGATTCTGCATTTTTTTCAGCGTCCTCGCCTAGAACTTACTTACTTACTTTACTTCGGCTATCTCCTACCGGAGGATGAGCCGGCTTCATAAACAGAGAGTTCATGAAGTTTTATGGGAATTTGGTACGAGTGATGTCACCAGAATCGCTCGGCCTTTTGCTTGAGAGTGCAGCTCTAGCCTTTACACAACCAAGTGTGACCTACAAGGCAGTAGGAGTGGAGTAGGGAGTCCACTATCCATTGGCAGCCGGTGACCGGAGTCCGGTTCATACGCCTTTTTGAATGGGGCCAGGCATCCAGGACATCCAACAAGCCCTTTGTCCATACGTCTGCCGGTGAGCTCCAGTGAGCTCCATACGCCAGTCGTTGGAAGTTTGGAATCAGGGTTTAGCCATCTACCCTAGACTGTCATCCAATGGACAGTCAACCCGGTGAAGAGCGCCGGGCATCCGCTTTCTCCCTCTCACTTTGGTGAAAAACACCTCCGCCACGTGAAGGCAGTGAGTAGGACTTCCTCAGGAGAGGCTATGTAAGACGCCCGGTCATATGGGAGCATTTCAAGAGGTGTGCGGAGGGGTGGCCAACCCGCAGCGCAAGGCACCCACCCCCTACCATCCTGAGGCTTTGGAGGCTATATCGTCTGCATATTCTAAGTCAACGAGATTATTCCCTGTTGTCAAGTCAATCCCTGAGTCTCTGAAGTGAGTTAGGGTTAAATCCATTAGTATATCTATGATGAAAATGAATAGAAATGGGGATAGTAGGCATCCTTCACTGGCGGACACCGCTGGTTGTAACCACTTCAGATGACATCTCGTCGTCAGCTCTTACCTGGCTGCATGAGTTCGAGTAGAGTGCTTTGATCAGTGCAATGTATTTTCTTGGCATTCCCTTCACAGCCAAACATTGCAATAGTATCTCTCGGTCGACCGAATCGAATATCGTCTTTAGGTCAAGGAATATGACGATCGTTAGACGCCGACGTTGAATATGCCTATGTTCCAGAATCTGTTGAAGGGTGAAGATATGATCAATACACCCTCGTCCTGGTCTATAGCCAGCCTGGTTCTCTCGAGCACCGATTAGTCTGCGCATGATTATTGAGTCTAGGACTTCGGATACCATATTAGTCAAGCTAATCCCTCTGTGATTATCACAAGAAGACTTGTCTCCCTTCTTGTATATCGGGATAATCAATGACTTACACTAACCAGACGGGACTTCCTCTGATTCCCAGACGCTGCTGCCTAGTACCTCAGTTAATGCAGACAGTAAACTGTCTCCGACATCCTTGAACAGTTCTGGAGTCATTCCACCAGGTCCTGCTGCTTTACCTTGTTTCAGACTAGTGACAGCCTCAGTTGGGGATGGAGGACCTGTGTCTATATCCCATTCAGGGAGGTGTTGGATGTTCGGTAGGTTGAGCGTGGCTGTAGGCCAACTGAATTGATCCTTGTAGTGTTCTTTTCATCGTTCTAGTCGTCTATCCTGGGAGCGAATTATGGTGCCATTTTTCTCAGAGATTGTCTTATCATTTACCTTTGACCACCTGTTTTTCTGTTAAGTCTATATCGTTGTCTCGTGTTTCCAATCACCGATCTCTTTAGCTTTTGTCGCCCACCAATGTTCTCCATAGTTACGAAGACTTGCTGTTAGTTTGCGTCTGAGTAGCTTTCGCTCCTCATCATAATCAGAGCTCGCCGGAATCAGTCCTCTTGCGTCAATCAGTTCGGATGTGGCGGCAGAGATCCAAGATTAGGCTATATCGACTCCTAGCTTTAAAGATAAGGAGTGAAGTGGTAGAGCGTGTTGACCACTTCACGTATTTGGGAAGTTACATCAGCCCCCAACGGGCTTACCTCTTCCTTCTTTATGGCTGAGACATGAATGTTGAAAATGAAAGACTTAAAGAAGCCAGCTACCTCTGACCAAGAGTGTTTGCATTCTATCTCCCATGTTAGGTGGTGTAGTATGGTGAGTAATATTGAAGGTGGGCCTCGTATTAGATAGGGAGGGAAGGTCAATCGATGATGTTGTGAAGCTGCGTTGGCTGAGATAGCCAGGACATGTGTTATGTATGTCGAACCGTCGCATTGCTCTCCAAATAATGTCACAAACTGTTGCTCGAAACGTCATCAGTTAATATTACTGTATAACACTGTGTGATTTGTCTTAAGTAGTTTCATAAAAGATCATTTGAATTAATATGAGTAAAAAGTTTGAGCATTGTGGATTAGATCAAATAAAGTATTAATATATTTCAATAGTTTACACACAATGATAAGTTTTGTTATTGGTATCATTATGTGTGTTAACTATTGAAATATAATTATACTTTATTTGATCATTTGAATGTTTAAGTCTCCCGCTTAATCAAACACGACTGTCCACTAACTGGCCTTTTTTCTAAAGTCTGAGATTATCTGCGACTTCTGAAGCAAGGAAAGGAATTACAGCTCTTAAAAACCAAATCCTGAAGTCATTCGATTGTCTACACGTGACCTCCATGACCTTCACACGGAACCAACTAGTACATACTTTTGTGGGAGACCTGTGAATTCTTATCCAGGCCCTCACTACGTTTCCCTTGTAATTCTGACTTTACCTAAAGAAATAAAGTCATCAACCACAGTTTCTCCATATTTTTAACCACCAGGCAATTCAACAGAGGCACATAAACTGATGGGCCCAGTGCTACTCCTTTCTATATAAAAGACCTCCAAACATTACCAGTGGATTAGTGTGTGGTCGAACTATGCTGTAAGGGTTAGTATACATAGTCCTTATAGGTACAAAAAATGTTGCTTATTCTGCTTCTTATACATCTGCTCTAAAATAAACGCCACATAGCTCCAATAGATTTGTTTTCCATTAAGTGCTCTGAATTCCCTCTGAAATTCTTCTTTTCGTTAATCCCTACAGATCAGCAGAAACAGTTTCCGTCCTCCACCACGTGTGGATTCAGCTGTTGTCCGGATTGAACCCAGACACCCATTACCACCTGTGATGCCTACAGAATGGGACGGATTATTACGTCTTGTGTTTGCGCGTAAAAACAAGACCATTGGTGCCAACTTTGCCGGTAAATCAATAGCTGCTCACTTACGCAAAGTATACATGGAGGCTTGCAGTGCTAAGGGATTAAGTCCAAATCCCGAAACCATTAATTGTGAAACAACTGGTATCTCAGCAATGGAAGAAAAGCTGAGTAACATACTTCAAGAATCCGGTTTCGACAAAAAGCGCGCCCGTACCCTGGATGAAGATGACCTCCTTAGACTACTGCTTGTATTTAAAAGAGAAAATATATTTTTTGGTTAGCATTTCTAGTTTTTTTTTCAGCGGATTCCCTAAGTATTGGAAAGATGCAAGTTGTGTCAATGATCTGAGTTGTGTTGGTGAGGCCTCCTTATCTTGACGATATGTATTTGTGCAATGCAGTCAGTGAAGAGCGAAGCAACAACACGTGTTCTTACTCTGGATCCCAGACAGAGTACCTGCTGGCTTTATTTTTCATAGCAGTGAGTGATTTAATTAGAATCACTGAAACAAGAAAATGACAGATTTCTCCAGCCTCTGTTTAATTCCCAATAGTTCTAATGGCTGCGCCAAGATGATTCCATTGAGTTATGTAATGGTAGTGCTACGTAGTACCATGAATTGACACAAGTATCAGCAACTCCTCATAACCACTGGTCAACACGCCTGTCTGTTTTTGACATAGAACTTTGCACCGATGTGCGGCAGTTCAAGTCACCACACTCCATGTAGCACACAAAGCAAAAGAAATGCATAATAGAGACAGTAGACAGGGAAATGAGACAAAAGAAACAGTAATAATGAAAAACAATATGGTTTCATTGGAAACTACAAGTCACAGAAGTGGATACATCTGCACCAGCCATTGAGAACGATTTTGAGCCATATCACCAATTGTCTCCAGCCATTGGTTTTTACCGTCCCGAGGACCCAAACCAGGAAGCTAGTCTACATCTTCCTACGTGGCTTAAACTAACTGTTTTGGATTTCACTGACTGGTGCCATGTTTTAGTTTGACTGCCGCTCTCTCTTTTCCAGCCTGACTCTATGTCAGCTAACATTGCCCGTCGAGGAAGGCGATGGCTAAGGATGCACGCGTTACACATGTTCTTACCATCTCAGTCGATGTAGCTTCACAGCCTCGTCGATTGATTTCCCCTCTACCGAAGCCTGACCTCAATATTGCTCACCTTATTATACCACTTCACACGGGATATCGAACACAGGCACCTATGATCAAAGACACCTAGCCAGCCTTTTCATGTTTTTCACTTTCAATGGTCATGTCTCACAGCTGGCCATAAAGTAGCACAAAGAGAACTGGTAAGCAGCACACGCGTCCTTTGATCAATTGCCAGCCGGATATCACGTCCACGCTAGAGACGGCGTAAACTGGCATATGCGAAACAAGGCTTCTGTATCTGTGCTGAGATTTCGTCAGCCATCAACCCGCTGGCCCTGGCTGATTCACTTTCTCAACCGAATGAGTGGAATGGTCAACACGCTAAGCCACCACTTCACTCCCTATTTCTAAGCTAGGAGTCAATGCAGTCCAGTCCAGTCCTGTAGCATCATCTTTTATTTAGCGGGAGCGAATCGCATGCCAAACATTCCCAGATTGCAGCTTAAGGTGTTCAGAAGATTCTGCATTTTTTCAGCGTCCTCGCCTAGGACTATATCGTCTGCATGTTCTAAGTCAACGAGATTATTCCCTGTTGTCAAGTCAATCCCTGAGTCTCTGAAGTGAGTTAGGGTTAAATCCATTAGTATATCTATGATGAAAATGAATAGAAATGGGGATAGTAGGCATCCTTCACTGGCGGACACCGCTGGTTGTAACCACTTCAGATGACATCTCGTCGTCAGCTCTTACCTGGCTGCATGAGTTCGAGTAGAGTGCTTTGATCAGTGCAATGTATTTTCTTGGCATTCCCTTCACAGCCAAACATTGCAATAGTATCTCTCGGTCGACCGAATCGAATATCGTCTTTAGGTCAAGGAATATGACGATCGTTAGACGCCGACGTTGAATATGCCTATGTTCCAGAATCTGTTGAAGGGTGAAGATATGATCAATACACCCTCGTCCTGGTCTATAGCCAGCCTGGTTCTCTCGAGCACCGATTAGTCTGCGCATGATTATTGAGTCTAGGACTTCGGATACCATATTAGTCAAGCTAATCCCTCTGTGATTATCACAAGAAGACTTGTCTCCCTTCTTGTATATCGGGATAATCAATGACTTACACTAACCAGACGGGACTTCCTCTGATTCCCAGACGCTGCTGCCTAGTACCTCAGTTAATGCAGACAGTAAACTGTCTCCGACATCCTTGAACAGTTCTGGAGTCATTCCACCAGGTCCTGCTGCTTTACCTTGTTTCAGACTAGTGACAGCCTCAGTTGGGGATGGAGGACCTGTGTCTATATCCCATTCAGGGAGGTGTTGGATGTTCGGTAGGTTGAGCGTGGCTGTAGGCCAACTGAATTGATCCTCGTAGTGTTCTTTCCAGCGTTCCAGTTAGGTCTACACGCAGATTCCGAAAAGCCGGTTTATTTAAGCCTGACACTGACAGATAAATTCTATACTAATCTCACTAGTTAGTAGTTAACAAGATGCTTTCCCTCAAATTTTCCAAATTTCAGACATATTAGTCTAAACTCAGTTTTGAAATGTACGGACTTTCTACCTCAGATCAAATTGTTCTACTATACCAAGTTACGACTCGCTTTAGCATTTTGATGACCTAATAAGACACCAGTTAGTCATCAAAACGTCTAATTTCAACCATGGACTACAAGGCGTAACACAAATGTATGCATGACACACTGTGCATCCTTCAGTCGAATAAGAAATATCTCCACTATATGTGTACATGGACTGTCAACCGCAGAGTCAATGCAGAAAATTAAAAGAACACTTGTGCGCAGACTATGTACATTATATTCAAGAAAAGTATAAAAACTATGTACAGTGTCTATAAAAAACGCAGTCCTGCAGACAGAAGTGACCCAACACAATAACTGCTCTTAGCTGCTGCACGACGTTCCTTGAGAAATTTAAAGCGGAGGTTATCCGCTTGTCGTCTGGCTCGTAGTAAAACAGATCGTTTGTAGTGACTGTAAGTAGTTGAAATGCGAGAATGTGATGTAGACGTTGATGTCGACACCGAATCGTTGCAGTTATCTAAAAGAAATTCAGGTGCACCAGCCTCCGTGGACCCACTTTTTCTGAGTATATTCTTCGAAACGGGTGAACTGATGCCAGAGTCTGTTGAGACAGTCCTTTGTTCGTCTGATTTGCTAGTAGATAATACTTTTGCTTCACTTTGTTTTGGAGAGGTGATGGTTAGAAATTCGGTCTTGTCTGATACTGGATAGTGGTCGGATTGGACAGACTCTAATAAACCAAATATTTTAAGTTTCATATTAATAAAATATAATACAGGAAAATACTGGTTTAACAAAATTGAGAATTTACAATTGTCTACAGCTGCTGAAGAACTAAACACATCTTGGAGACATTAATAGGAAAGCTCACAGCTTTAACGGATAAAATCTCAAATTTGCTTGCTCGCTTTCTCAGTTAGGAGTCAAATTGGATTTTATCTGACGTAACTCATAAAATAATCCTGCGTAACTATAGTGAATGAAAACTCAAAAGTAATCACCTGTCCTCCCGCAGAGCTAAAAATTTCGGTCTTAGTGTTTAATACTGCTCCTTTTTTCGGTGACATCCATGGTCGATGCTCAATGTTTTTATACATCCCCCGTCCAATTATTAGGCAACATTCATCTTCACTGACATATTCCTGAATGCATTCTTAATATGCTGACCGTAATTTCAAAAAAATTGTAACGAAAAAGTTTGTCACTTACCCAGATTCCGGAATTGTCAACGCTAATATGTTGGTTAGTACGGGGGAATCGTGAATATCGGTGGTCAAATGAGATACAATCATTAATCTCAGTAAATGTGACCATGCACGACCACAACTTAGAATGTGAAGTGTGTTAGCGATTCGCGTGACAAGCTCTGGAAGCGCGGTGGTCAGACAATCCTGAGTAAGCATATGATCCCGTTGTTTAAGGTATAAGACACTGGTAAAATGCAACATACTAAACAATCTGGGCAAAAATTTAAGTACGTATGTCAAATGGAAGATGATGCATGACAAATCTGCACCAATCCCTCGTTTATGGGTAGAAAGGAAGTGATTTCAACGCAATGCCTACTTTACTTATTTGGGAATTTGCACCAACCCTAATACACAGATTGCTGATGAAGTCTTAACACAAATACAAGAAGCTCCTTTGGCACTTTTTAACTTGTCACAGTTGGCGCAGGCGTGATATACATCAAATGACCTAAGCACTGTGCAGCAACCCCCTCCATCCTGCTTTATGGTTGACATACGGCTACTAGAAATGGAATACATGAGATTCCTTGAAGTCAAGTTAGTTAGATGAGAGCTATGGTGGTAATGAACACGAATAAAATTAAACAAAATAACTAGATGTGTTGACTTCAATATTTCGTATCTCGAAAACAGCATTCATGGGAAGAGTGGTCTGAAATAACACATTAAGCGCTTGACAAGATGGTATGGGAAAATACCGCAGATATTGATGTGTCTATTCACATCGGTTGTCATCATAAGCATAAAAAGCATTTTAAAATGTCGCCTGAAAAATCCGGAAATACAAATGTGATTTCATGTCTCCTCACATTCACTCAAGCTCCTAACTAAAGCAGTAGGTATATGACTTTCACGGTTCATTAATGAAAACCCCGACACCCGCGTATGAAAACTACTCATATTCAAACTGACTTTTTAATCATCTTGAGTGCCCGAAATCTGAATCGTCACAAAAAAGGAATTCATATAGTCTACACATTTCACTCCTACTTACAGAGGATTTCTAGTCAATTTTGAAAGATGAGAGTTAAATACTGTACATATGAATCTAAACCAAAACATTTAAAGTTACGTAAAAAAATGGCGAGGAAACTTACTTCCTGAAACTGTATTCACTGGCACACAGCTCGTCGGGACATTTAATCAGAATAGGAAACCTTAAAAAGAGAAAAGGCAGTGTTCTGTCAGGACAATAAATGTCATGAGAACACGCCGACCAAGGACGAAGCTCACGGTGGAATTGCATGGTTAAGTAAAAACAGGAAACCTTAAAAAAGAGAAAATGCAGTGTTCTATCAGGACAATAAATGTCATGGGAACACGCCGACCAAGGACGAAGCTCACGGTGGAATTACATGGTTAAGTAAAAACGGGAAACCTTAAAAAAGAGAAAATGCAGTGTTCTATCAGGACAATAAATGTCATGGAACACGCTGACCAAGGACGAAGCTAACGGTGGAATTGCACGTTTAAACAAAAACAACCAAAAAACAAACCAATCCCACTAAGTAGGATATTTCAATTACCTGCAAAGTGACATTGTGACGGAGGAAAATTCAGAGGCAGGAAGTAATGTATGCACTAAGAAATACGACAATAAGTTAGTGACCCTTACCTCCTTATCTTGACAAAAAAATATTTGCTGCTGCGACGTACATTTGACACTTAAAACTGACGGACATTTTCCTCTTCTCACGCATGAACAGCAAACGACACTGTCCATATTGGGTACATAACCGGACAACTCATCAAATAATTCAGGGAAGTTGAGAATTTTAATTCGACAGCTCCAAAACAATGAGACAGGCGACAATTCTGGAAAAACAAAAATCAAAACACGTAAGTCAGAATTTATGAGTGCATTCTTTCACCAACTCGTGTTGGCAATTCAGAAGTGCAAAACACCGCAGGACAAAACGATGAGTACAGTCTGACCATAGAAATCCACCACAAAGTAGCATCTAAATATACGAATTGAAGCGATATGAGGACAGATAAACTTGCTAACTAACTGTATCCCCACATATTAAGACAGACTTACTCCTAACAACATACTGTGATAAAGCATGGAATGATTAAGTATCTACACGAAACTAGGGAACCAGATACGGGAATCAGAAACGTCTGTAATCAAAACAGGCCTTCTAAACTGCATTAAAGTACTCCCCATACGTAGGAGACAGTGAGTCTGGATCGAACCAAAACTCCCCACCCGGACAACAGTATGTAGTGGAGTGCCACAAGATACCGTACTAGGCCCTCTCTTATTTATCCTGTATATCAATAAATTACATGGACTAACCGAATCTCCTAGGCTTTTCTATGCAGATGACCTAAGACTGGGGACAGCTTAACGATTATGACGACATGCTTATGCCACAAGAGAATCTCGACAAACTGTTAGATTGGTTCAAAGAATAGATGCCCCCGAGCAACGCAGTGAAGTATGCAACCATGCACACTGGACACGCAAGCGTCAGTTCGTATGACACAGGGGGAATACACCTCCCATCAGCTCAGACGCACATGGACCTAGGTGTCATAGTAAGTCATGACTTAAGAACTATGGCAGAATGTCGCGTGGTGGTAGCTCGAAGTTCCGAATTCCCATGGGCGAAACTCAGGGTCTTAACAAAGATTACCAGTGAAACCTTCACCACCTTATACACATCCCTAGTGAGACCAAAACTAGGAAATTGCATCCAGCCCTTGTCTTATGAAGGAACTCAAACATTTTGAGGTTCAAAGGAAGGCCACCTACGAGTCTTCGGTGTAACCAATTCATCATACGAGGAATGACTTATCAGTTTGAACCTCTTCCCCTTATTATATCGCAGGCAGAGACCTCAATACAATGTCCAAAATCCTAAGAAATGACTATGGACTTGATTTACCTACTATTTTCCTTTCCACAAGGTTGGAACATCACAAGGGATATAGCTGGAGAGTTTAAAAGCCAAGGAGAAACTATGTTGTTATATAGTACTGGTTCTCCCACCAAGTCATAAACTCCAAGGAAAAGTGGTGTCTGTACTCTTACTCCACTCATTCAAGAAGGAGTTAAATGAGCACATTTCCTTATTAGGAAAGGATAAATAGACTTGAAGCCACCTATCTGAAGTCAATACTGACTTACAATAATTCTAAACTAATTCGGACTTATGCGTCGATAGTGCCTTTTTATGTTAAATGAATACTTTATCTGCCAAAAATGAACCTACTATGTGCTGAAACAACGTTGGTCGTTCTCAAAACGAGCAGTGGACGCTCAGTTTGTGCAACGAGACCTCAAAAATAGTATTCGCAGCTGGAATAATGCTTTAGTGCTGAAATATTCTGCAAAACTAGCACAAATTCAGCACACTTTTCTCTTTCTAGGCATGTTCAACAGTGTATCAGAACCTACTGGATTTGCTTATCAGCGTTGTCCGAGCCCTCACAGCACATACTCAGCACTGACTAGAATTACGTGGGGACGAAAAGAATTAATTCAGCGCATAGTGGCATTTTCCTCAGCTTTAAAATTAAGCAGACCCAGTAGGTTCTGATATACTCCTTAGTATGCATAGAAAGAGGTGTGCTAAATTAGTACCAGTTATGCTGAAAACCAGCCTTGAGTTCTAGCCTGTGCCCTTAAACCATTTCAGCACAGGTTCAGAATTTACTCATTATAGAATGTTAGAGTTAGTTCAGAATAAGCGAGATTTAATTCAGCATTATAGTAAGCTTGGGGTCGAGTGAAAACCAAAAAAAAGTTTGAAGCTAAGACACTTCTGTTTCACATGTGACTTTACTCTACCCCTAATGCAGTATTGAAAAGCGTGCAGATACGTGAATATTGAAAAGAACCAGTCGCTATATTACAAAATCGGGATAGTGAAAGAAACAGATGAAACCCATCTTACAACAAAACGTACGAAACAGAAACTAGGCGCCAACAGTATGGCGGGATCATCCAATATCCAATGTCGTTTTTACGAGCTAGTATAAACCAATATGATTTCTTTGTCCTCACCTCTTGATCGTGAGGTATAGGTTCCTGATCTTTGGTACACTTATGCGTAGCTTGTCCCGCCATTCGACTGTCGTAGCTTTGGCTGACTCCAAAAGGACTAGTGATTGGATCAATTATATGTGGTTTGCAGTGTGAGGCGTGTTAAGACTGTTACTTCTGTGAATGAAGTTGATCATTCACCGATATCGTCGTCAAAAGAAAAGAGATAATATTAATAGTAACAATATATACAACTAGAGAAGTTATTCAGACTAACAGACTGAAAAAGAAATAAAGAAAACGTAAAAACACACAGCTGATTAAATTTTCAGATTCAGATTTATTTGTTGAGGATAGAAGGCTAGGAGCCTATGTTAATCCTTTTCTAGTAAATTTCTGTGGTTGTCCAAACCCCTCTTGAACGAATCAACTGAGGTTGCAGACACCACTTCTTCTGGGAGTCGGTTCCAAGAGTTTATGATTCGGTGTGAGAACCAGTACTCAACAGCAATATGATTTCTTCTTTGCTTTTGAACTCTCCTGCTATGTCCTCTAAGGTGTTCCGACCTGGTGGGAAGGAAAAGAGAAAATAGGTCAGGTCCTTAGTCATTATTTAAAATTTTAAACATTGTGATTAAATCTCCTCTCTGCCTACGGTATGACAAGGAGAAGAGATTTAAACTGTCTAGTCTTTCCTCGTATGATAAGTTAGTCATGCCATGAATCATACGTGTTGCTTTCCTTTGAACCCTTTCTAGAATAAGTGAGTCCCCTTTTAGACAAGGGCTGGCGGCCTGGATGCAGTTTTCCAGTCTTGCCCTCACCAGAGATGTATATAAGGAGGTGAACATATCTCTGATGATTCTAGTGAAGGCTCTACGAATTGCCCATAATGACCTGAAACTACGTGCAGCCACCGCGCGACAGTGTGCTGTAGTTTTTAAGTCGTGGCTAACTATGACACCTAAGTCCAAGTGAGTCTGAACTGATGGAAGTGTAATTCCCTCTAGTTCATAAGAGCTCGTGCTTGCCTGTCCAATGCGCATGGTTGCACATTTTGCCACGTTTATCGGGAGCATCCATTCTATGGACCACTCTGACAATTTGTTGAGGTCCTCTTGCAACGTGGACATGTCACTGTTTCCCTTCAGCTCTCTCCAAATTTTTAAGTCATCTGCTTATAGGACCATAGGGGAATCGGTGAGCAGAGATAGCTCATTGATATACAAAATAAATAGGAGAGGTCCAAGTACCGTGCCTTGTGGCACTCTGCTGCGTACTGCTGTCCAAGAGGAGAGTTTCGAGTTGATCCTAACCCTCTGCCTCCTATCTATGAGGAATTCCCTGAGCCAGTTTAGTGAGCTGCCTTTGATACCAAGACTTTCCAACTTCATGAGTAGTCTTTTGTGAGGTACTTTATCAAAGGCTTTGCTGAAGTCTATGAAGACGACGTCAACGGGTCTTCTGTTGTCCCTGGCTTTAACCCAGCTTTCTCTTGCAGTGAGAAGATTTGACAGGCATGAGAGGTTCCTTCGGAAGCCATGCTGTGCTCTTGATAATAAGCTTCTATTTTCTAGATATGCCATTATGCTTTTCTTGATGATTCTCTCCAGTGTCTTAATTAAAGTGCTGGTGAGACTGATAGGCCTGTAATTTGAAGGGCTTTGCCTTGATCCTCCTTTGTGGATGGGGGTTACTATGGCGTCTTTCCAGTCACGCGGTAACACTCCTTTTTGGAGAGAAAGCTTGAAGATCGTAGTCAAAGGGCCGGCTATATGGGCTGATAACTCCTTGAGAAGCCTTGGGTGAAGATTATCAGGACCCATTGATTTCCCTGCATCTAGTTTCCTTAGGCAGTTGAGCACGATGCCTTGGTCGATGTCAACGGAATCTATCCCATGTTCTTCTGATGCAGCCAGAGCTGATCCGGTAGGCAGTGACGACTCCTGAGTGAAGACTTGGGAGAAGTAGTTTGCCATTGCTTCTGCTTTTTCTTGATCTTCTTCGATTGTATCATTGTCAATAGTCAGGTTTGGGACACCATTGGATGTTTTGTTACTGAAGTTCATGTACGAGAAAATTTTCTTAGGTTGTGCCTTTGCATTTTGAGCCAGGTGTGCTTCGAATTTCATCCTCGATTTGCGGATTTCTGCAATAGCTTCATTTCTAGCAGTGTTATATAATTTCCTGGTCTCAGAAGTCTCAAGTGTGGCAAACAAGTTCCAACATTTGTGTTTACGTCTAAGTAACTTACGAATCTCTCGGTTTATCCAAGGAGGGCAGTGTTTCCGACTCTTTGGGACAGACCAAGGGATGAAAGATTCAGTTACTTGGGCGTAAAGTTGTTTAAATTGGTTCCATGCGGCTTCTACTCGAGACTCTGGGTTGATGTACCAGTTTACTGAGTTGGCTGCTGAGACGATTGCATTTATATCAGCTTTCCAAACGTTTGGTCGAGATGGGGTTTTGGCCCTTGCTGCCGTTGCTGTGAACCTGAAAGTGAGCACAGCATGGTCACTTCTTCCTAAAGGAGGAAGATGTTGTATGAGATCTACATCCTCACCATGGGAGAACACTAGGTCCAGAGTTGAGGAGGAGTGCTGTGAGTCACAGCGCGTGGGCTTGATGATATGTTGGACTAGAGCTAACGATATACTAGATTCCAGCAGTTTATAATCAAAGGAGTTGACTGAGGATGGAGTTGTTAGGCTCGTCCAGTCAACTGTTGGGGCATTGAAGTCGCCAACTACGAGACTTCGACATTTCGAGGTTCAGGAGCCTAGCTTCTCTATCAGGAAGTCATCTGCACTGCAGTTAGGACTGCGGTACATAGCAATGAGGTCAATGTCTCGGCCTGTGTATTTAAGTCTGCAGCGTAGAAGTTCGCACGACTCACTTTCGTGAGCGAGTGCTTCGATACTACGCACGGTCAAGCATTTCTTGAGGTAAATGACTACTCCACCTCCTTTGCGGTTTAGTCGGTCCACCCTATGCACTTCGAAGTTTGGCAGGTTAACTTCGCTGTCAGTGACATCGGGTGTGAGCCATGTCTCTGTGATAATAATTACATCCGGGTTTCCGGAGTCTATCATATTAACCAAATTTGAAACTGATATATATATCAGTGATCATAATAATAAGTGTAGTTAGAGTTGTCAGGAGAGCAAGACGGGAGAGAATGTGGACAAGTAAAACGACGAACTTAGCTGTCTACCCCCAAATGGAGTATGGGATTTTAAGGGGGTAGGCCATTCGGACGTAGTCCTTGTGTCGCTGCATGATTGTCCAGCCTTCGCTTAAAGGCGTTCACAGACGCTGCCATAACTACATCTGCCGATAAGGAATTCCAGGAACAGTAAACATGCAGTGAAAAGAAGTGGGATCGCACTCGGGTCCTTGACCTCTGGTGAGCTACCCTTCTGGGATTTCCACGAGGGAGCCTATACCTACTCAATCTCAGAACACCTTTGTTTGGGTGATTCTGGTCATTCGTTATTTTGTAGGCAGTAATCAGGTCTCCCCTAAGCCGACGGTAGCTAAGTGTGAATAGGCCTAATTTCTTTAGAGTTTTATCATATGGTTTATTTCGGAAACCAACCACTCCTTTTGTTGCCCGTCGTTGGACTCTTTCCAAGAGGTTGGCGTCTCTTCTAAGCAGTGGGAGGTGCAATAATATTATGCACTTCAAGGTGTGGTCTGACGTATGTTTTGTACAACCTGAGAAAGTGGTCAGGAGTGTAAAGTGTATGAACGCACATGCCCTCGCTACGTCCTCCGCGTAATTTCCGCTTGTGTCCATTTTTTCCGTTAGAACTAGACTTGAGTCGCGCTCTGACGTTGTGCAGGATAAGCTTTCATTGCGCAACGTCGTAGCTCGGCTCAATTCTAGTTCTAACGTCATATAGAGATAATATCTTAAATAAATACAGCTGATGGTTTTCGTGAATGTGGGATTTTAAATAACTGTATAGTCGCAGGAGAGAGTTTTGAATAGAATATTTTAGGATGAGTAACACTATTGCTCATTCTAACATATGGTCAGCGATACATTGATTCAGATTTAAATTATAAGGATAGAAGGCTCTTGTTGCCTATGTTAATCCTTGCAATATATATCTCTGTAGTGACCCAGTTTCTCTCTGAAAGCGTTCAACGATGGAGCTGTTACTGCCGTATCAGGTAAGGAGTTAAAGTCATTGACCACTCTATAAGAGAATCTAAATTCCACACTCATTTTATTCGACCTCGGTTTGAGCACCTTCTTGTGGTGACCTCGTAAATGTATCCTGGGAGGAGAGAAAACGTTTGAAAGGCCAATCCCTAAATCACCCATTAATATACGGTAAGCCAAAATTAAGTCGCCTTCGGTATGATAACGGGAAGAGATTTAAATGTCCCACCTTCTTATCATAAGGAAGGTGTGAGATACCACTAACTAATTTCGTTCTTACCCTATGTACTCTTTCCAGGATATATGCCTCCTTTTTGAAGCATGGACTCACCGCTTATATGCAGTATACTAGATGAGGTCTGACATATGTTGGAACATGCCCTCGTCTAATCGTTTGAAAGCCCTTCGAAGTGCCCGTAGCACTCGAAAAGCCTTAGCTGCGGCTCGATTACAATTTGCCGTTGTTTTCAAGTCATGGCCTACAATAATCCCTATGTCCGTTTGTCCCCTAACATCTGTCAGTTCTGTGTCCCCCAGGGAGTACGACGTGTAAGTCTTCTGACCTAGGTGGATTACCGCGCTTTTCTTGGAATTAATTTCCAGACTCCAAAGGTTGGTTCATTCGGCTAATTTATCTAGATTGTTTTGTAGTACCAACCTATCATCGTTACTATTCACAGTTTTCCATATCTTAATATCGTCCACAAATAGTAAGGAAGATGATGTAAGAATTTTCGGCAGTTCATTTACGTATAATAGGAATAGCAGGGGGCCAAGTATAGTTCC